CAAAATGTGTGCAATTCACACGTGGTAGAAGTGAAACCTTCCAAAATTAAAATACAATTATCCTAAACGTCTTAAGTATATGTAAAATTTTGTCATTAGTAAATAATTGTAAGGTAGCGCCCTCTGTGAATTGATATTTTAATTTCACGTATAATCCTAAATTAAAATTCACTAAAAGAGCTTTCATACACACGTTAGTATTAAAAAATTTCACAGATGGCGCTGTATTAAATAGTATGTATATTTATGTCTCATTCTTTGCTGGCTTCATTCTACACATTTTTGTATTTGTGTCTCTTACCTGTCATTTTTTCCGTTGCATCCGGTTTGAAATCACAACGATTCTAAAGAAGTTTTCACTTCAAAATTAAAAAATAAGTTAATGACATAATGTGCATTCGCGTAAAGTTAGACCAAATACATGCCCTAGCCCTAGGACAGTGGTTCCGAAAATGGCGCATAGACATCAACCCAGCGAAAAGTACTGCGGTGCTATTTCAGAGGGGAAGCTCCACACGGATTTCCTCCCGGATTAGGAGGAGGAATCTCACACCTCCGATTACTCTCTTTAGACAACCCATACCCTGGGCCAGGAAGGTCAAGTACCTGGGCGTTACCCTGGATNGAAGCGATTAGCCAATTCGAGTTGAAAGCTCTCGGGGTTTTGGATTTGTGCATTCGACGGTCGAAGCGTTGACTTCATCAGACGCGATCTTTCCAGTCTGACATTGATATTCAACATGCCTCTGACGATTCGGTGATCACTTCCTGTTTTAACACTGTTGATCACAGAGACATCGTTGAATATCTGTCTGTTGGTGCTCATGATGAACTGAACTGATACTGAAAGATTAATAAATTGCGTGATTGATTCTAGTTCTGTAAAAAGGTAATAGAAGTGAATATTATTTACACAACGATATCACCAATAATAGTTGTATGGGGGGTAGAGGTAAGGAGAACCGACTCTTAAAGTAGAAGCTTGAAAAAGTGTCCAACTTTCAGCACTACTTAAATAAATAACAGTTCAAAAATCCTCCAGAATGGCGCTAGCATAGGCACAGGGTATGATATGAATTGAGCAGTCGTTAACTGATTGAAATGTGCTGAGTTAGGAAATTTAATATATTTCATATCTAGAGTGGTTAGTGACAGTGTAATAATTAAATGTTTCGTACGTCTCACATGTTTACGTAGTCCAAACTAATTTCGTCAATTTATCCTAAAATTATTGCTGTGGTAAAACGTGGAGACATCGATTGCATTTTCTTATCAGTTTTAAATAAAATACTTTTTGTGATTATGTAGTGCTTACAGTTCTTCAGTTCAGTTTCGTCCTTTTTTATTTGTCTATAACTTTCAGCGCCTTTTTAAAATTTACCCGGTTGCTACTGTAGCGCCACCCTTATTTAGCAGATTTTAAGGTGACTGAAGTTAGCCCCTCAAAAAAATTTTTCTTTCCTGTTTTCTACTTATTTTCTATTAATTCGTTTGTTCATCATTTGTTCTTGATTCACTGTTATTGTTCACTGTTAATAATTGTTTGTTCTGCATTTATTTATTTTTAAAAAATTATTAAATATATATGTACAAGTTAGCCCCTCGATTGCAATTTTTAATATTTTTTCGTCCTTAATGGCTCGTCAATATTCATTTTCGATTGTTCTTATTTAAAATACGTTTGTTCTCTTTCGAAATTACTCATTTTTTGTTTAATTAACTATTTGTATTAATTGAATAAATGTCTGCAAAATATGTGTACTGCGCATGCGTCAACTATAATGCCTCAACTTTCTACGCGGTTTTAATCGTGAAAAAAAAACAATTAAAAATCCTGAAGGATCAATTCATTGGTATACAATTTAATTAAAAAAATACAAAATGTGTGCAATTCACACGTGGTAGAAGTGAAACCTTCCAAAATTAAAATACAATTATCCTAAACGTCTTAAGTATATGTAAAATTTTGTCATTAGTAAATAATTGTAAGGTAGCGCCCTCTGTGAATTGATATTTTAATTTCACGTATAATCCTAAATTAAAATTCACTAAAAGAGCTTTCATACACACGTTAGTATTAAAAAATTTCACAAATGGCGCTGTATTAAATAGTATGTATATTTCTGTCTCATTCTTTGCTGGCTTCATCCTACACATTTTTGTATTTGTGTCTCTTACCTGTCATTTTTTCCGTTGCATCCGGTTTGAAATCACAACGATTCTAAAGAAGTTTTCACTTCAAAATTAAAAAATAAATAAATGACTTAATGTGCATTCGCGTAAAGTTAGACCAAATACATTTTTTCCATCCTCTTCCCTATCGTATTAAAATGTTATTTTAGTAATGTTAGGAATATAATTTCGACTGTGTAAAAAAGTTATTATAATGTATACCTACATTATCTCTTGAAAGATAAATAATGAACACATTTATTTATTTGTTTATATTACCTATGTGAACTCCCTATCTTTTTTATACCTTCATAACGATAAGTAGGAGGATGGAAAAAATGTATTTGGTCTAACTTAACGCCAATGCAGATTATTTCATTTTTTATTTTTTTTATTTTTTTAATTAAACTGTATGCCAATTAATTGCTCCTTCAGGATTTATATTTGTTTTTTTTTTCACGATTAAAACCGCGTAGAAAGTTTAGGCATTATAGTTGACGCATGCGCAGTACACATATTTTCCATACATTTATTCAACTAATAAAAATAGTAAATTAAACAAAAAACAAGTAATTTCGAAAGAGAACAAACGTGTTTTATATAAGAACAATCGAAAATGAATATTTACGAGTCATTAAGGATGAAAAAATATTAAAAATTGCATTAGAGGGGCTAACTTGTAGGTATATTTTTAAATATTTTTTTTAAATAAATAAATGCAGAACAAACAATTATTAACAGTGAACAATCATGAACAAACGTATTAATAGAAAATAAGTATAAAACAGGAAAAAAAAAATTTTTTGAGGGGCTAACTTCATTCACCTCAGATTTTAATGGACCCTTTTTCACACTCAGTGACGGCTCTTCTTACCTCTACTCTACCCTCCTTTAGGTAGTAGTAGTAGTAGTTTTATTTTTCCAAATGGAAAGGCAAATGTATCATACCATACAGCCTAACCTTTTATATATATATTTTTATGAAATATGAAATGAAATGAAGTTGATTAATATGAAATATGACATGAAATGAAATGAAATGAGATGATATGATATGGGATATTTTTATGAAAAATGATAATACGGAGTGAAATGAAATGAAGATGATTAATTTGAGACATTAATCAACTGGGATGAAATTAAATGAAATAATATGAGATGATATGAGATGAAATATAATCTCAGTAAAATGGTGGTCCTTTACTGAGACTTTTGCAGTGGACTTTTTGGAGGATCCCGAGAAGCTACGTCCAACGGCTTTGTTTTATTTGCCCACATTTGTGCACTTTCACATATATGAAACAGTTAATAAACAACCGTTATTACACACATAAACTTGAAAAAACACTAAATAGACAAAATAAAACAAATAACACAACTTCACTCCTCGCGTTCCCGCCAAAAAGTCCATTAATTGGCTTCTGGTAAATTTTCTGTTTATACGAACACAGGTACACTAAACTGTATTTATCCCATGACAGAGACACTTTTAATGCACTCGGCACTTTTATATTTTATTTCTAATTAACCTGTGACCATATTTCTTTGCTTTTTCAGCTGTCAATGTCATTTTTAAACACTGTCAAGCTTGTAATTAAAACAGGCGTCTTTTCGAGTTCAGTAAACTAATGTTTTTCAATTATTTGTTTTTAGTTTGAATTCTTTTCACATAAAATTAAATTTTCGATAAGGAACTTACACCTACCGGCGTGAATACTAAATATTAGGTGAGTAACTCTTCAACATTATCGCTTTTCATGATGTCGGCTAAAATTAGGTTAGAATATAGAATAACACTAAATTGTATTAGCTGTATTTTAAGATTCTTATGGTGAACCAAGGCTAAGATATTAAGGAATTCTAAATTTCTAAAATTACTTGGGTCGAACATGTTGTCGTTGATTTGTTAAATGCAATATTTTCATTGATCATATAGGGAGTCAGATAAACTCTAAAACGGTTAGGTTTTTGCTAAAATCATCACGCCATAAAGCAAACAAAATATAAGTAGTAACTATGACAAACTTGAACGAAAAATTCCAGAATGTCGAACGAGAATGAACCACCACTGCCCGATGGATGGGAAATGAGAACCAGCCGATCAACAGGAATGACTTACTATCTGAACACTTATACCAAGAAGTCTCAATGGGAGCGTCCTGAAGCACCCGCAGATGCTGGTGAGGTCCGCTGCAGTCATATACTGGTTAAACACGCTGAAAGCCGTCGCCCAACTTCCTGGCGCGAAGAGAAGATCACGCGCACAAAGGAAGAGGCTTTGGAGCTAATTAAAGGCTATCGCAAACAGATTGTTGCAAATGATGCGCAGTTTGATGAAATTGCTCTCAAGTATTCCGACTGCTCGTCTGCTAAGCGTGGTGGTGACCTGGGTATGTTTGGGAAAGGACAGACTCAGCAAGCTTTCGAAGAAGAATCTTTTAAGCTGAAAATCGGGCAGTTAAGCAAACCCATTGAGACTGAATCTGGATTACACATCATCCTCCGCACTGCTTAGTCTTATTCATTTTATACTTTGATAATGAAAATAAAAAAATATAAAAAAACAATAGAATACTTGTGAAGTTGTTGGAAACCCTTTAAAAAATTAACAAATAGGATAAAATGTTGGAGAACTGGAATTGTCATGATTGTCTATTCACTGAAAACTAAATATTTCATGTTAGTTTGGATTCCTAACATCAAAACCTATCAAATGTTCACAGTTCAAGAACATTCACTTGATACTTCCATTTTATTTAGCTTTTCATATTAAGATAAGCTAAGAAGTAATTCCATGTAAAAGTATAAAATAATAAACTCATTCTGATAATTAAGTCATTTTATTTCCATTAGCCTTTGTTCACCATGAGATCATGAGTGATACACTAAACAATAGTTATAATGCTAACAATATCTGAATTACATTTATATCGGGACTTAAACATAATAATTTACAAGTCTACCTATGACAGATCCAGCCTCCTGTCACAGGTAAAGTGTAACTCCTGAATTTGATAGTATTAATTTATAGAGTGAAATAATATGGCACCATACTTTTAGCGGTCTATCAAAGTTCAGGAGTTACTGGGAACTAAAATTAACAGTAATTATTTTAAACAGTTTTAATTGCTTCGTCTTTGTCCGGGGAGTTTCTGATCAAGATGATGGTGTCTAGGGTCGAGTCTTTAACGTTCTCGGGTGCTGGAGTCCAGATGGGTCCGATTATGGGTGGTGAGCGCTTTCCGCCCCAAGCACTGAACTTAACCTTCCTCTTTCCGTCTTTCTTAATGTTCACGTCGTAGTAAGGTTGTCCAGGTTTGAATACCTTCGGCAAAGACTCAACGAATGTTTTGAAAGGCATAGCTTCTTTAAACGATCTAGGATCAAATTTCGCGCTCAATGCCATCATTTTCAATGGGAATCTTTTGTCGACGCTCGGGATATAATGCAGACCGGCCAGGTTAAGCCTTTCCCCGGACGGGAGATAATTCGATACGATCTTCTCCAATTCCGGAACAGTAGCTGAGAATATTAACTTGGAACTCTTTGATCCCGGCTTGTAGACCATTTGGCCGCTGCGTTTTCCACCCCAAGGACTGAAACGGACGCGTTTAGGCATGCTCGGCTCTCGTACGCTAGAGGATCTTTTCCACGTCCACATGTGTTCAAAGCTTGGCTTGTCGCGCTTCCCGCCCCAGGGACTGAAGTTCTTCTTATCGACTTGGTCGAGTAATGCCGTGTCGTTTTCGTCAGAATTCCCCGAAAATCCAACTAAGAACGGAGTTGCTACTTCATTGTTCTTAATATACATAGTTTTATCGATGTCGGCTAAGTTGGGAAGCCAGCGCTTGTCTCGAACCTGTTCCTTATCGTCTGCTGTACGTCGTCTCCTTTGCACTTCTCCATCATGTACAATACCGTATTGGCCATCGCTCATATCAGGGTCCATTTGCGCGTCAGGTACATTAAAGTAGTTTGCATAAGGTAGAGAGTACTGTAGACTGGAGTCCAGGGGATCCAAAATAGTATCAGCACCAGGACCACCGGTGTTTATGTATTGGAGACTGGCCGTGCCCAGCCAAGAGAACGTAATCAATATCCAGTGATGAGACATGGTTCTGTGAACAGAAAATGAATTATAATTAATTAAAATAATAATTGCCATCGAGACTTGCTGGAATGTGATAATTAATTTACCGAATTTACAATTATCTACTAATTGTAGCATAGGTCGGCGTCGAAGCGAGTGTGCTTGGCGACTAGTAACTCGCTTTAGTGGGTAACCGAATTTGGGGACACCAACGTGAATAGCATTGAATTATATTCACAATAACCTCTATGCTATATCTAAAACTAGAACGCGTGTCTCCTTCTCTGCAGAAATATTGTGGACGGTATTACCGACCCGTGCAAACCCCCAACACGGCTTACCATTAGTACTCGGACTACTAAGTGGAGGATGACTTAAGTAGGAAACTTAGGTGAAGTTGGGAACTACTAACGGGTCGAAAATGATGTCAACTTGATGATAAGCATAACCGGGAATGAATTGTGTATTTTCCTAGCTTAGGCGAGCTCATATTAAACGCTTAACTTAGCCCATGCATACCACAACCTGAATACCTCCATGATTCATATATAATAATATCCATCTCGAGAGATATGTAACTCAATCCCAATAGACACAGCCCACTGAGCTTCTCACCGGATCTTCCTAGTGGATCACGATTCAGATCCGGTGATAGATATTGCGAAGGGCTCTTGCTAGGACTAGTATTAAGAAATTCTCTCCGGTTGAGTCCGAGAGCTCACCTACCCTTCCGGGTGTAGCTGGAATAATCCCTTAGGCTATCAACAAATAGATAGGGAAAAATAATAATTTGGGCGGTCTTTTAGAAAGCCGTACTGCTCATGACGACCGTCATACGGTTGTAGTGATGGAACCTCAAAAAATTCAAAGAGGACAAAAAACCGTGTAGTTCTTTATCTTATTACCAAAAGTACCGATATGTTTAGATACAAACTCAAGACTATCTGTGGAACTAAAACTCCTATCATGAAAAATAAAACAAAAAGATTGAACTTTACTTCACACTTCTAGCTTAGCGAGTCGCTCTTTATAACATTCTCATATATATCTCATATATACTTTTCATAGCTATAACAAAAATATTACAAATACATATACTAATAACAATATGTTGTACTACACAAATCAAATGGTTTATTTCGTAACGTGAATTATTATGACTGTTACTTTGTGTGGCGAGTAAAAGCTTGCATTATTTATGTTAATATTCTTACTTGTGATTCCCTTTGATGTTACATTTCTTTTCTACTATGAAGACTTTGGGGCGAAAATGTTTCTTTTACGACAGGGATTAGAAAATGATAAAATTAATAGTTTAAAAAAATCAAGAAACTTCCACTTAATAGTACATGACACTCAAAGAGCTTACTAACTACTAATTGGAGATCCATTGGAGAATTCTGTTTCGACCTTCCTGGTTTACCACAAGATTACCTTAAAAGTACAATAAATATTGTAAAGTTATCAAAAGCGCCTACACACAATAACCAAGCTTGGAATCCTTTGGGCTAAAGAAAGATTTCGGTTCGGTCTTTGTTTTGTACTCTGAAAATTTTCTCAAAAGTATCCTGTCATTTCCATTTCTCCCATCGCACCACTCTCAAATCGCACCCATAGCAAAGATCCACTCTATTACTAGGAGCACAGTTATTCATCATTAATACATTTCTAGAGATCATTTTCTCCTTGCACCATCCGGATCCAGTATGAAATATCTTTCACGGCCTTCAGGAAAGGCTGATATGTCTTTCTTTAAACGAGGCTTAAAGAGATTTCGGTAGGCAGTAGCTTGGCTGTGCTCTTGGCATTGACTGATGTCCATGAATGATGATGATCACTTACCATTATGTGGACCGCATGTTTTCGGTCCTGTACATCAGTACGTGGATCATCCACTCTCAATGCTTTTGGACACTGCTAGTTCTAATGTTAGTAGTATAGCCAAGCACAGAGTGCCCTATTCATCAAAGTTGTCGTAGAATTCGATATGACACTTGGCCCATAGCTTCAACCCACTGATTTCGTCGCGGGATCTTCTCACCCGGTGGTGATTCTGATCCAGTGGTAGTTTAATTTACCAAGAAGGTGTGCGAGGTGACCAACCTTCTTTGCTTGGCCCTCTTCCAGCTATAAAGGCCTAGGGGATCAAACGCAAAAAATATAATAATAAGAAACATATCTAATCAACTAAGACAATCTTTTTATAATAAAAAACTGCGTTGTATTTTATAGAATTGCCTGCTTATTCTTTGATCATTATTAATGCTTATTGCTTATTGAAACAATAGACAAATAATGATCACGTTAATCAAGCTTTAAAACCTTATTTATAAAACTACATAAAGTGGCACAGATAATGCATAAATCCGAATTGGTATCCATTGAGTTTGGAACTCTAGGGAAATTTAAGGTATAATTATATTGTTCGTGAACCATGAAAAGCGCGAGAAAGTAGATTTTATAAGCACAGGTGCGTATTTTTTACCGACTTAAAAATAAAGGAGGAAGTTCTCAATTCGACTTTTTTTGTGAGTTAGGTACCTCAGACCGATGTTCATGATTTTTTTTTTAATTTGAAACCTAATGCTTCTTATGTCAGTCAGTTTTAGTTAACCTGTAGTTTTTAATTTTAATTATACTTAATAATCTATAATAATATGATAATTAATGATATTCTCAGTTTAACTCTGCTTTATTGTTGAAGTCAGCCTTATTTTTTGTTAAAATTTCGCTCTAGTATATGTATGTATAATACAAGGTAATGCTTCCTACACCAAGCAAGTGTATGCCGTATTTTTTCTATCTAATCTTTGGTAACCTCAGGGACTCCAACTTCATGCGGACCGGTAGGTGAGCTCACGGGTCACGAGAAGGCCTACTTGTTTGTTATTATTCTTTGTTTATTTTATTTTCTTTTCATTCATGGATTATTATTATCTGATAAATAAATGAATGAATATTATTATTCAAGCTGAGAGAATTTACTAACACTAGCCCTAGCAAGAGCAGTGCTTCGCAGAATCTACCGGAGGATCGGACTCGCGACCCACTAAGAAAATCTGGCGAGAAACTCAGTGGTCTAATACTGTTTCTGCATTTTATAATAGGTTCTGATTTGTTCGAAGGACTGTTCTAATTCCAATGACGTAATTTTTCAAGGTAGCTTTGACATTTTATTGTGATAAGACTATCACCGACAGTGCATAACATGAGATCTATATCTAGACTGCAAATCGCATTGAAATCTCTCTCAGTAAACTCACTGCAACTGCGCAGTTCTGTTGTAATATTTTCCAAAAAATAATGATAACACTATGGATGCTCACAGTTAAATGCTACACAATAATGCCGCCACCCACTTTGAGACGTGAGTTCTAAGTTCTCAGTTATTACAGTACAACTGCTTACACTCTTCAAACCGAAACGTTGCTGATTCACGGCAGAAATAGGCAGGGCGTTGGTACCTACCCGTGCGGACTCACAAGAGGTCCTACCGTCAGTAATAAACCAGGTATCTAGGTAAATAGCACTATCATTCTTGTTTCCGTTGTGAAGCAGTCTTACATCGCGACGTTCACTTTGTGATTGGCAGCAGTAACTATTTAAAACAAAATAGGCTGTGATGCGGCCTATTTAGAGCAATTTTACTTACAAAATTAAACTGAAAACTACATAAGTGGTAGCCCTATATAATTGCAACGGCAAATGCATTACAATGGCAGGGCGAAAAAAATAAAATGTTGCTTTGAGAAAAAATTATATTCAATTATAGATTTAATCATGCGTGTGTTGTATAGAGTACCACGATTGTCAAACTTTTTACGAAGGGAGACTTAAAATGCAGTTTGTCATGCGTGCTTTGTGCTTAGACTGGTGAACGGTAGACTTTTTTTTATTGCTTAGATGGGTGGACGATCTCACAGCGCACCTGGTGTTAAGTGGTAACTGGAGCCCATAGACATCTACAACGTAAATGCGCCACCCACCTTGAGATATAAGTTCTAAGGTCTCAGTATAGTTACAACGGCTGCCCCACCTTTCAAACCGAAACGCATTACTGCTTCACGGCGGAAATAGGCAGGGTTGCCTGTGCGGACTCACAAGAGGTCCTACCACCAGTAATTACGCAAATTATAATTTTGCGGGTTTGATTTTTATTACACGATGCTATTCCTTCACCGTGGAAGTCAAGTCGTGAACATTTGTTGAGTACGTATTTCATTAGTAAAATTGTAACCCGCCTGCGGGATTCGAACGCCGGTGCATCGCTCAACACGAATGCACCGGACGTCTTATCCTTTAGGCCACGACGACTTTTGACTTAGAACTCATGTCTCAATCCCGCCAAGGGAAGGTATTTGTATGAAAAATATAAATGTCTTTTCCAGGGTTATGGATGTGTCTTAAATATATGTATGTGTATAATAAAAATCTTACATTTATTTCCGATATCTGGTACCTGTAACACAAGTTCTTTACGAACTTATCACGGGACCAGTTAACGTGGTGTGATTGTTAGTAAATATTTATAATTATTTATTAATTTATTATATTTATATCTATCCGTGCGCGCTCACAAAACGCCTTAGCGGCAGTAATTTTTTTTAAGGATTATTTCTCCATTCCTCAACTGTGATGACAAAGGTGTGAGAATCAAACGTTTTAATTCGATTATTTAGATGACTTTGAACCGCTCGATCCTAAACAAACACTAGCGTTGTTGTAGGGGGCTGAGAAATTATTTTAAAGGACAAGACATCTCGTTTGGTCGTTAAATTACGCATTACCTACTTCACTTTTCCTCTTTGAGTTTCGGTTTCACTGTCGCTATAGACAAAATGGAAATGTTTTGAATTAAATTTTGTTTATTATTCATAATATAACTCTAATCGTAATCGGACTACGAGGAGAATTCGAAACATAAATTAAGTGCGTTTAGATTCTAGAATAATTTTACTGGTAGGACCTCTTGGTAGTCCGCACGGGTAGGTACCACCACCCCGCCTATTTCTGCCGTGAAGCAGTAATGCGTTTCGGTTTGAAGGGTGGGGCAGCCGTTGTAACTATACTTGAGACCTTAGAACTTATATCTCAAGGTGAGTGGCGCATTTACGTTGTAGATGTCTATGGGCTCCAGTAACCACTTAATACCAGGTGGTCTGTGAGCTCGTCCACCCATCTAAGCAATAAAAAAAAAACTTCAATGCATTATATTTTTATCTGAAGTTTCTGAATAGTAAACAGTTACAGCAATAAAAAATTTCGTCCGTCACATTTATGTATTATAGATGTATATAACTGAATCTACATTTATTTGTCAAGAAATAGATACACATGACATATCTGTTGAAAATGAATTCTCAGACTATTATATACCAAAACGCATCTCGACATTTTCATTAAAATTAATTAGTGATCGAAAATCTGTTTATTTGGAAAACTATACCGTGTAATAAAAGACATTGGATGTGTCGCAAAAAAATTCATTTGTAACGTCAAAGAAATTGTGATAAATCGTCTAAAAATGCGATAAACGAGTAGAATAGTCCTTAAAATTTCAATTAAATTTTTTTCTTCTTTTTCCTACTTATGCTGATAGCCTTGAGAGGCTATTTCAGCTTCGCCCTAACATGTAGGTGAGCTCACGGGGCTCAAACCGGAGCGTTGCTAACACTGGCCCTGGCAAGAGCAGTGCTTCGCAGAATCTACCACCAGATCGGAAACGCGACCCACTGAGAAGATCCGGCGAGAAACTCAGTGGCTGTAACAATTGTCATTTCTAGTCCATGTATCCCAAATTAGGCTAACTATTCCAGCCGGTTGAGGCCGATTTGGCCGAAATGCCATCTACGACTTTCACACGATACTGATAAACCCTTTTTTTTTTAAACCCTAGCCCGTTCTAACGAGGTAATTTTTTTACTGCTTAAGTGGGTGGGCAAGCTCACCTGATGCTAAGTGAGTACCGTAGCCCAAAGATATCTACAACGTAAATGCTACCACCCACCTTGAGATATGAGTTCTAAGGTCTCAGTTTTTACAGACCAGTTTTTTGCAGGTTATAAATTGTATTAAGAAACACAAAAGAGATAGACTGATCTGTCTAAACACCATATTGTAAGCACATGATGCCCGAAAATCGTACTATAAAAAGCGTGTTGAAAAGCTCTCTCGTTCTTTCTGGCTTCAATCAATTGTACATATAAATTTAATTGGCGTTTTATGTCCCCTTTTAACATCACGGCTTTATGCATGCGTCCATTGTTCGTCTGCGCATTTCAAGTTACAGCGGTGCATCCGTACGGGCCATTGTTACGGCATTGGTATTTCACGCGAGCATATTTTTGCCGATACCAGAGAATAAACATTGGCCGTTCGTTTTATGAGCGACCTTATGTGTTTGGTGTTGCGTTTTTAGATATACTAGTGGCCCCGCAGTAGTCGAAATTCGACTAAAATTAATTGAAATTGTAAGTTTGAAGATTATTATGGTTCTATTGCCAAAGACTATCATACTTCTATAATCACAGATTTCGACAAGACTACACCGTAGTACATAAATAATATTAAAGGTAAAAAATATTAACCTATTCTCGATTTGACCACAGTTAAAATTTGACAGCAAAAAAAGAGTATATATGTGTGTGTGTGTCAAATACATAGTAGTGTGTGTAATGTTCTTTTATTGATTTAATATATTACTAATTCATAGGTAATTTAAAAGAATATTAACATTCTGCACTCTTTCTCTATGTTCTCTATAAGTGTGGGAAATTTCATATTCCTCCGTCCGCGCGATTTTCGTAAAAAGAGGTAGGTACCTACAAAGTTTTTGCTTCCCGTATTATTATTATATAGATTATTCGTGATTCTTTTGATGATGAGCAGATAATTTTTAAATGTGTCGTTTTTAGGTATTGTTTATTGAATATAGAGAATAAGATTTCCTTATAAGCAATTCAACTTAGATACCTTTCGATTTTGAATTTTATCCAACTCCCGCTAAGCCCCCGCTGGACGTGGAGCAGTGAGTGCACCTGACTACTGAGTCGAGGGTCGTGGATTCGATTGCCACATCGGGCAAATATTTATGTTATGAACAAGTTATCTTTGCTCTTTGTCCGTCGTTGTCCATTCCCCGAATTTTTAATGGCCCCTTATTTAAAAGGGTTGGACAATGTTGCCTTAAAGTTGAATTAAATAAAAATACTTGTTTGATTGCCCATAACGCATAATACACATAGTGGCGAGAGCTCAGTTCGCTTGGGTTTATTTATTGGAGCTCATAGACAAAGCAACATGAATTCAGCTACTGGCTTTCAAACGACTTCAGTTCGAAATTTTAATGCCATAGAAATACCAGATATTTTACTGGTGGTAGGACCTCTTGTCAGTCCGCACGGGTAGGTATCATCACCCTGTCTATTTCTGCCGTGAAGCAGTAATGCGTTTCGGTTTGAAGGCTGGGGGAGCCGTTGTAAGTATATAGAACTTATATCTCAAGGTGGGTGGCGCATTTACGTTCTAGATCTCTATGGGCTCCCGTAACTACTTAACAACCAGGTGGTCTGTGAGCTCGTCCACACGTCTAAGCAATAAATTAAAAAAGAAACGCTTTATGGTTTCGGGGAAGAGTTTAAGTGGCGGTCACAAATCAAGTCGTACTAACAATAATAAGGGATTGTCGAACTTCCCTGCCGTCTAAATTTTTTGAATTATTGATCTTTAAAACCTATCTAATTTATTAATAGACATATTGCAAATAAATTTAGGTATAAAAAATTTAAATGACATAGCGAATGGTCAGGAAAATTTTTATTAGCTCACAAGCTGCGGAGCATAGAGCCACTCCGTGGTATGTAGGTGTTAGCATCGGAGATTGAACTCCAGTAATGCCATAAATACAGCAAAGGCATAAGACCTTATGCCGACTTGACTGATATTACCACAACTCTATCAAATCTCAAAGGAAAAGCTTTCGTTAAAGTTTAAATCGACTTGCGACTAATCAAATTCAAACTATTGTGCAGAAAATACACTCAGGTATTTTTGTTCTCTCTGGAACTTTGTACTTCGAAATTTAAAAAGAAACTCTATAAAACAAATCAATAGAGTAGTTATTTAATCAAGCAATTTTTAAATGCGAATGGCATAACAAAAATATTATTTTATAATTAAACTAGCGACCCGCCCTCGCTTCGCTTCGGAAACTGTAATTTATTATTGATCTCTCCCCTATTTAATGGATGTTATTATACATATAAACCTTCCTCTTCAATCGCTCTATCTGTTAAAAAAAACGCATCAAAATCCGTTGCGTAGTTTTAAAGATTTAAGCATACATAGGTACAGACAGATATAGGGAAAGAGAAAGTGACTTTGTTTTTTATACTATGTAGTGAAAATGCAGATGTGCATATATACATACCTTAAAGAAGATTACAGCATAACAGAAACTCGTACAAACACTAATCAGTAAATATACAATTCTGTTTGGTGTTGTTGTTCCGCTGACGGCTGGTGATGCTGTGATGGCAGTGATGTGCAAAAACCTCTTTTATAGTCGGTCAGGACTTTGCGAACGAGCGGTACTGTACGCAGAAACGCTTTGGACGATTTTAGTTTTATTCGTTAATATTTTCCATGTTATTTTTTCGGTTTTAGTTCCGAACAAATTACACGAAAAGAGCTGTTTTTATTTGCGACTTTGGGGGTCCGAACTTCCTGTGAGATTGAAGTGTATTCTTTTGCGGACTTAAAAACATTAAGTAGGTTCTAGATAGTTCTTATTAATATACTAGTAGAAAGATGTGGTATGTTTGGCTCCGATAATAATTTAACATCAAACGGACTGCGAAAGATGCATCAGTTATATATAACGCTTTATATGATTTCCACTCCGCCTGCTTGCGTCGATAATCCTCAATGCTGAGGGACGTAGCCTCCTTTAATAACTCTCTCCTGGATTATCCTGCGCCAGCCCTGCCTATCCTCGGCTGCGCAGATGGCATCATGGGCTGAAGTGTTGAGAGTAGAGCGTTATCTGGTCCGACCAGCGCATTTGACTTCTGCCTCTGGGCCTTCTTCTGCATCCTTTCCCTGCTTTTTAAAATTGTCACCTCTGTTTCTGGCAATTCAATTTTCTTGCCTATTTCCATTAAGAAGCGTTCAAGAAGGCTTAAAGACCAGGATAGTCGAAAGGTATTAAAATTAAGATAAGGGCCTCCTCAAGGCGAATCTATACTAATATATAAATCTACAGTAGTTTTTACGGATGTTCCGTTATAACTACTGAACCATGCATCCGATTGACTTGAAACTTGGTATACATGTAGAAAATACATGTACTTAATGGATAGGCTAATATTTATATGAGTGTTGGACTTCCTACACCAGTTGCGGGGGCGTTAATGATGAGAATCTTTGTGGGGGTGAGAAATAATAATGTTAATTTTAAATGCTCAGCGAAGCGGACGGGTACAGCTAGTCATATATACGCCTCTTTGAAATTTGCCAAACCTTATCTGGAAATTTCGATTTAAAAAAATTATATCACTTCTGTAGACGCTACTGCCGTGGCGAGACCAACTGTTGAATTGCAATGGTCACATTTTGCGGTACAGTCCAGCCCGATGTGTCTCCTAGGCGCTGTTATTCAGCTCTCATTAGTTCCTGAATGCTCTGCTTTTGTAAAAATGATTCTTACGATTCGTCTAAGCTTCCTTTAATAATACTCCCTAACAATACTTTTTTAGACTTTAATCACAAATATATATCTAATATTAGCATTCTCTATAAAAAGATATATTTTTTCTTCAATACAATTTCCATTTTATTGGCGGTAGGACCTCTTGTGAGTCCGCGCGGGTGGGTACCACCATCCTGCCTATTTCTGCTGTGAAGCAGTAATGCGTTCGGTTTGAAGGGTAGGGTAGCCGTTGTAACTATACTGAGATCTTAGAACTTATATCTCAAGATGGGTAGCGCATTTACATTGTAGATGTCTGTGGGCTCCAGTAACAACTTAATACCAGGTGGGCTGTGATTTCGTCCACCCATCAAAGCTGTAAAAAAAAATTTAATTACACACCTTTATTAGCTTGTTTGTATAAAACGCAGAATCTGTAAATATAATATGCATCGATTTCCAAAGGTTCGATTCACTTGAAAATTGGCACACGTATCAAGGACCGACGACAATCCTAATATCCTGACCAATATCAACAGATTAATTGTTAGTTCGATTTGTTTCAATAGTTTTAAAGTACATATTTTATTGTTAGTATTTAATGATTATCTGATAACCTACAGGGTAGTACTCTTTTAATTGAAGAGCCGAGTAGTGTGGTGATTCGTCGACGTCGCCCAAAACGCCTCATTACGGATCCTCCCGATCCATTAATGATGCTTTTAGGTACCACAAGCACCGGTCACCGTTCTCATCGAACCCGTCGTTGCGACGAAGGGCTCGACGAGCGAATTAACCCATACACACAGCCCACTGAGTTTCTCGCCGGTTCTTCTCAGTGGGTCGCGTTTCCAGTCCGGTGGTAGATTACGCGAAGCACTGCTCTTGCTAGGGCCAGTGTAAGCAACACTCCGGTTTGAGTCCCGTGAGCTCACCTACATGTTAGGGTGAAGCTGAAATAGCCTCTCAAGGCTATCAGCATAGGTAGGAAAAAAGGGGTGTTTATTTTTTTATTTTTTATTGCCCTTGTAGGCAGACGAGCATACGGCCCACCTGATGGTGAGTGGTTACCGTCGCGTTTCGTGTTTGGTTTAGCATAGGTTTTGTGTTATAGCTACATTAAAATCTCAGTACCTTTTCGTGGGCGTGCATGGGAGTAGACGAGGCTATAGCATAAGCAGTTGTGTCTATGGGCATTTATGATTGATTAAATATGCTTTTTTATTTATTGCATAGATGGGTGGACGAGCTTACGGCCCTGGTGTTAAGTGGTTACCGGAACCCATAGACATCTGCAACGTAAATGCTACCACCCACCATGAGATACGAGTTCTAAGGTCTCAGTATAGTTACAACGGCTGCCCCACCCTTTAAACCGAAATGCGTTACTGCTTCACGGCGGAAATAGGCAGGGTGGTGGTACCTACCCGTGCCGACTCACAAGAGGTCCTACCACCAGGATATGGATTGATATGGATTTGTATACTAAAAATAAAAGTAATATTTAAATGAGAAAAATTAATATTTTATGGCTACCGGAAAATCTAAAATAGGAATTAATTCTTACATCCTTACAGTAATGAGTATGTAAGTTATTATTGAACCTGTTTGAAGTGGTGGTCGTTAAATTACATAAAAGGGATGCACATTGCGGCTTATGACGTCATCAGATACGGGCGTGCGAGAGAGATAACGAGATGTTCCTATTACTCACCAACTCGTGTTTGATTTTTCTACCCGTTTAGTTATTTTAAAATAACCTTCACATTTCAATCGTTACGTCGTTTCAAATTTAATTGCAATGTCATGTGTATGTTCACATGACATTGCAATTTGAAATTGGAATATCGATTTAAAGTAATATCGAAGGGCGGAAGGTTTGGTTTAAGAGACATCTAAGGGACCTCTAGTCTATATATTAATACGTGAAGCAAAAACTTTGTATCCCTTTTTACGAAAATTGCTCGGACGGAGGAGTATGAAATTTTCCACACATATACAGAATATAGAGAAGAAGTGCACAATGCTAATATTTTTTTTAAATAATGCATAAAAGATACATTATATCAATAAAGAAAACATTACACACACTACATACCATGTATTTGACGCACACACGCATGCATACTATTTATTGTCAAACTTTTGTTCTTGACGTCGGTGGTCAAATTGAGAATAGATTAAATATTGTTTGTCTTTATTAATATTTTTTATAGTGTAGCCTTGGCGAAATTTGTGATTATAGAACTACGAATAAATAATAAGTTATAGAAGTATAAAATACAATCATAATAGTGTACAAACTTACAATTCCAATTAATTATAGTCGAATTTCGACTACTGCGGGACCTCTAGTTTTGCTTAGTACGCTACATTTATCTTTGTAATTAAAGTACCCTTTTATTTGGTATTAGCATCTACAATCCGATGTTTTTAATTGAACTTAAATTATGTTTAACGCATTCAAATAATTTGCGGTAGGCAGCGGCTTGGCTCTGCCCCTGGCATTGCTGAAGTCCATGGGCGACGGTAACCACTCACCATCAGGTGGGCCGTATGCTCGTCTGCCTACAAGGGCAATAAAAAAAATAGCCGAAGAAGTTTTTTTTTGTCATAATATTTTTTCCAAATTTTAAACTTTAAATGGCTCTCCTGTAAAATTGCAAAAGTGTCCCTGAAACCAAATAGGCGTTCATCCCTCAAATTAATAAAACTGGAACATGAATATATTTTCTTTACTTTTACAGCCCACTGAGTTTCTCGCCGGATTTTCTCAGTGGGTCGCGTCTCCGATCCAGTGGTAGATTCTGCGAAGCACTGTTTTGCTAGGGTTCGTGTTAGCAACATCGTCAGGTTTGAACCCCGTGAGCTCACCTAATAGTTAAGGTTACGCTGATATGGTCTCTCTAGACCATCAGCTTAGGTGGGGAAAAAAAATCATTTACTTGCGATAAATTCTGAAGAATGTATGAATTTTGACGAAGAATTATTGCGATGAATTGTTATCAAATAAGTACAGTGGATAAATCGGATGTCTCCTATTGATTGTCAACGATCTTAGGTATTTGGAGCTTCAATACGAGCAAAGAGATGTTTGATAAACAAAAAAGAAAATGTTGTGATCAGAATTTTAAATTAAATACCCAAACGACTTATGTTCATTAAAGGATTGATAATTGCAATTTTTTACGGATAACTTGATATTTTAGGGTACTCTTTTTTTTGTCCTTGTAGGCAGACGAGCACACGGCCCACCTGATGGTGAGTGGTTACCGTCGCCCATGGGCTCAACAATGCCAGGGGCAGAGCCAAGCCGCTACCTACCGCATAATATTCAAATACTTATATACTCATACACCGCCATTTTTTTTTTATTGCTAGATGGGTGGACGAGCTCACAGCCCACCTGGTGTTAAGTGGTTACTGGAGCCCATAGACGTCTACGACGTAAATACGTCACCCACCTTGAGATATAAGTTCTAAGCTCTCAAGTATAGTTATACTCATAAACTTTATGAACATTTAAATATATTAATACCACAAGATTAATTCCGATGCTATAATATAATATTTAGATAGAAGGTAAGATGAAAATCTCAAATAATGGCTCTTAAAAATTATATTTGAATATCTTTCAAATATTCTTTTTTTTAAATCTAAATAAAATCCTGTTACATATCAAAACCTGGTAACATTTCGATGTTATGTATTTAAATGAAAGGTTTTTATTTCACGTATAGAATACTTATAGACAAACTATGTATTATGTCTTCAAAAGGCAACTATTATTTTTTTCTGTTTACCTCTTTTAAGGTTTTTTTTGTATTCCTGT